AAAAGTGCAAATTGAGCGAAATGAGGCATGGCTAAAATGCATGATCTGTTTGGTATTTTGAAAACAGAAACGTATAAATATACCTTATATAGGTATGGCCCTACAATATATCATTTAAATATACCATGATACAGTAGGTCCACTTTAAAAATCTTGTATGTTTCAAACATTTTGTATTAATATGAATGTTTTGCAGTGGTGGAAGACATATTCGGCTCCTTTACTTAGGTAAAAGTACTGATACTGCATTGAGAATGATACTTAAGTAAATGTTTTTAAGTATGATATATAAAAAGAAATCTAAATCCCAAAAAATCTTCACATTTGAAAATCTAGAACTGTGAAAAATGTTTACACCCAAAACTGTATTAAACAATTTGTAAAAGCAAAAACAGAAATTCTGGTTAATAATCTGGGGAGATTTACTCCTAGGATCAAACCGGAGGTCACAAGTAATGTAATGCACTTTTCAGTGACCTCCCGTAAAAAACGACCGACAGACTTCAGCTCAACCAAAACTCTGCAGCTCTGCGGATAACCAGAACTAAGAAGAGAGAACACATTAGTCCAGTTTTAGAAGCTCTTTACTGGCTTCCTGTTTACTTTAGGATTGATTTTAAGGTCCTCCTCCTGACATATAAGGCCCTTAATGGGCAAGGACCTAGCTATATTGCTAACTCCCTTGTCAGCCACAAGCCGTCAAGAACACTGCGTTCTTCTGCTGCTGGTTTGTTAGAGGTTCCCAGAAACAGCCGCAAAAAGACGTTTGGTGATGCAGCTTTCATTAATTATGCCCCAAAGCTATGGAACAAAATACCTAGAGACATCAGGGATGCCTGCTCAGTGGAAGTCTTTGAAAAAAAACCCTCAAAACATATGTGTAAAATGTAGCCTTTTAGGAAGCAAACTCCTGCTCTCTGCTGCACTTTCTCAATGCACTCTGATGCATTTTGACCTGTCACCTGATTGTGTGTTGCACTATCCTCCTTTTAAAGGGGACCTATTATGCAAAATGCACTTTTTGATGTCTTTTATACATAAATATGTGTCCCCGGTGTGTCAGGGATGTTTTTTATCTTACAGACAGGTTACGAAAAATCATGTATTCTCAGAGAAGGAATATCCAATCAAAGTCAAGGATTTAACTAAACTCTTCCCCATTGTTAATTCTTTAAAGTAATATTATTCGTTCTTCTTCGTGAAAGGTCTTCATCATAAAGTATACATTCAAATTGCAGCTTTCATTTAATTAACAGTTGTATTAAATATGTTCAACTTTAACCTTTACTTAAGACATAAGGGGCGGGATCATGGTCTTAATGTTGAAATCGAACTATTTCAATACACTTAGATCTGATTTTCATTTCTTAAATGTTGCCTTTCAGAAATGTGTTTTATGTTAAATATATTATTTTAATGACTATCCTAGGTCTCATCCAGAATGATGAAACTCAGTGTTTTCCTTCTCATGCTCCTCATGGAGACGTGCTCAGTCTCCACTTATCGTGAGTATGAATTGTTTGTATAAGGCGTCTTCACTATAAAACATAACAGGGAAGTGAATGTAAGGCTGTCCGTTAGCAAGAAAAGCAGGTTTATACAAAGTAAGTTTAATTGTCTAGATCAGTGGTTCCCAACCTTTTTTGTCTCGTTTACCCCTTGAGCTGGTCTCCATTCTATAAGAGCCCCCTCACTCATCTGTGATGATGCACCTACATTTTTTCTTGTTAAATTTTTTTCTAATCGTATTTAACCAAACTGCTCCTTAGTTGATAAGTCACCCTTAATACAAATGCATTTAATCTTGACCTTTACACTTATTCTAGCAGTTTCAACATCTTTTGTTAAGACTAGAGCTTTTAAAGAGACACTCGACCTTGCTTATCTTTCGTAAACTTTCACAACCCCTGGTTGGGAACCACTGGTCTAGATTATAGCTTTAGCTCCAACAAAAAGAGTTATTTAATGCATGAAATATTGTAATCTCACTGCTCACATTAGATCAACCCGGTATCACGGCAAGACGTGAACATGTGACGATCTACCATGCTGGGAGACGTGAATATGTCACGGTTTCGTCGCTTCAAACGTGACAGTTACACAGTATTATTAACATGGCCCAACCAGTGGAGAAATACCGGGAAGTGCCAAGCAAATGGTCTACCGCGCCTATTGGTCGGTTTTTATTGCCAAAATTAGATGTTTTTAATTTATTTTTTAATCGTCACACTCGATTTCGCCGATTTTCTTGTTGCCCTAGCTGGTCGACACCTCTTTTAGCAGAAACAAAGGCTACATTAATGTATTAAATCGATGTTAATCCATGTGTGTGGAGGTGTGGATGTGGAATTAACGGACGTGACGTTGTGCGATTGCGTTGCCAGGCATCGTTATGGTGTAAATATAACCTATCTACCAATTGGATCAAATATAAAAGTCAGCCGAATTAGTATTGATACTGCAAGGAGACGTATTGTGTGAAAAGAAATGTAAGATGTTGTTTAATTGCTGATATATTTATGATCCACGTCACGTTTTCAGTTTTGGCGGCAGTGCTTCCTGTTTGTCTAGAAGTCTTCTCATCAGGGCTCTATAAATAGAAAACTACGGCAGATATGTCATATTTAATGCAGCCGAACCGTGTATTACAATGCCGTTATGTGATGACCTCCAAAGAGAAAAGCAAGCAAACTCGGAATAAAGTATTATTATTTTTTTTTTAAATGTTTTCGGATTTCACATCAACAGGAGTCCGGTTAACTAAAATGTCCGTGCGGAACAATACCCCCAACCCATAGATCCGTGGGTGAATAATGTCAATCACCACATTACACACATCCCTTCACATTTACATTTTAATTTACATTAAAGTATTTTGTGAGGCCTTCTAAAATGTTTTTAAATATAATTAGGGTTGTAGTTGAAGAGTTTGTAAATTGCGTTGCCTGGCAACGCAATCGCACAACGTCACGTCCGTTAATTCCACATCCACACCTCCACACACATGGATTAACATCGATTTAATACATTAATGTAGCCTTTGTTTCTGCTAAAAGAGGTGTCGACCAGCTAGGGCAACAAGAAAATCGGCGAAATCGAGTGTGACGATTAAAAAATAAATTAAAAACATCTCATTTTGACAATAAAAACCGACCAATAGGCGCGGTAGACCATTTGCTTGGCACTTCCGGGTATTTCTCGACTGGTTGGGCCATGTTAACAATACCGTGTAACTGTCACGTTTGAAGGGACGAAACCGTGACATATTCACGTCTCCCAGCATGGTAGATCGTCACATGTTCACGTCTTGCCGTGATACCGGGTTGCATTAGATATATACTGTATGTTTTGCTGCTCCAATAACTAGTTATTGTTATTGTGGAAATACTGTTTAAATGTAACTGTGAACACATCGCCATGTAAGAAATCCCAGCAAAGCGACACAAACCAATACAGAAAACACATTCAATCTCCAATTCATCAGCACGTGTTCAGCGTTTGGAAATAAAACACTGCATAGACATTAAAACACTGATAAACATCTGTATCAAGTTGGCAACACGTGCATGCTGAGGCAACATGCTGCAAATTCAGAAAGCGTAATCCAACTCACAATGGAATAGTTTTTAATGATCACCGTTCACAGTTCTAACATCAAGTCATCATTTACTTTTTGAGAAACGTGCAGCATTTCTCTGTTTGTAATTTGTGTTTTTTCTATTTTCTGTTTTCTTTAGTTGTTGTGCGTTGAATATTCAGGACCAGTTATTTGTTGGAACACTAATGTAGCTTAAACCATTTTCCAATGTGTGTATTATAATTATATATTCAACTGTCTCTTTTCTAGAAAACGTTGCGTTGAACAGAAAAGCGACCCAATCACAGAGTTATCAACATGCACCTGGATTTGCCAGCAAAGCTATTGATGGAAACCGTGACTATAGGTTCCCTTCTGGATCGTGCAGCCACACTAATGGAGAAAGCAACCCCTGGTGGAGAGTGGACCTGCTGGAGCCCTACATCGTCACCTCCGTCATCATCGCCAACAGAGCAGACTGCTGTTCAGAAAGGCTTTTGGGGGCACAGATCCACATCGGCAACTCTTTAGTCGACAATGGTGCATCAAACCCACTGTAAGACATTTCCTGCACACATTTTATTCATTTGTTTTGTGTAACTGTCTGAGCATTTTGTTTATCTTCTCCTCTCCCCTGTTAATTGCGCACCACCAGTAGACAGAGGTGTATTAAGATGCTTTACTTGAGTAAAAGTACAGATACCCTAGTTTCAAAATATTTCATTACAAGGAAAAGTCCTGCATTCAAAATGTTTCTTAAGTAAAAGTACAAAAGCATTATCAGCAAAATGTACTTAATGATTAAATGTACATATGAATGTGACATTTCTAGATATATTCATGCATTAAGAAGCATTTTACAAGTTTAATTTTATTTATATGATTTGACTGTTTTGTGACTTAAAGAGTTCGTCCCCTAGTTTAATTGTTAGAGATACATTTAGTTAAAAGTAGCTAAAGCTGTTTAATGAATGTACTGGAATAAAATTACATTATTTCCGTATTGAAATGTAGAGGAATAGGAGTAGAAAGTAGAATTAAATGGAAATACTCAAGTTAAGTACAAGTACCTCAAAATTGTAAATGTACTACCCACCTCTGCCAGTAGATTCTCATAGAAACTGTTCCTAAATGTTTCAACCATGTCATTTTACTTATTTGCTTATCAGAAATATAGGCAATGCTGAAGTGCGTTAAACTTGCATCGTCTTTCATATCTCGCAGTGGGTGCCCCACTGATTGCAAAAAGGAGTCAGATTGTATAGAAGTCTATGATGAAATTACCAGTTACCTTTTATCTATCTGTTGAAGCCTTAGGGGTATAACATGTCATTCATGTTCTTCTTTCTTTCTCACTTTTATTCTCTTTCTTTTAGGGTTGGTACAATTTCTACAATAGAGTCAGTACACTCTGACTCTCACTGATCGTGTGGAGGGACGCTATGTGACTGTGCGTATACCGGGTGATGGAAAGCTCCTTACCCTCTGTGAGGTGGAAGTCTACGGGTACCTTGCCCCAACTGGTGAGGGTTTGGGATCTTACATAAATAATGTGTGATTTCCATCTAAACAAGGAACTGTCATAAAAGCCAAGTGGCTGAAAAGTTAACTCAATGCAGAAGTCCCTAAAACCTGCATTCTTTCTAAAAGTCTGATTGTGTAGAAGTCTATGAAAAATGTTCTTGCAACTCACTTGATGTATTACCGCTGGAAAGAGTGTAACTATTAGTTTATGATCTCAATTGTTTGTTTCAAGTCTTCTTCAATCCAGCATGATGTTCAAGTTGTAAAATATGGTCCCATTAATAGGAAAAAGAGAAAGGATGTACCAGCCTTTCATGTCACTTATGATTACTAAAACAAGTCTTATTTTATTTAAAGTTTAATTTGCCAAAACTGAATGACACATTTAGTTAGTTAGTTAGTTACTTAGTGCAGTTGTAGTTAAATATAACTTTAACTATAGACACAATATATTATAGACTACAGCATAATATTACTTTAATTCCTATTTTCCAATAACAAATAATATATAAAAATAGGATTGGAGCGGGAATACCCTTCATTTATGAATGATTCCTGCAATGTGTTCTGATCTGATCACAGAAATGGACAAATACCAAGGTCGCCAAATTAAAGGCCTGATCGAGGGTCGTCAATTGTGATTCTGTGACATGATTTGAAAACATTTATTTAAACATTACTGAAATATAAATATTGTTCATTATCAAGCCCTAATTAAAGATCTGCAACCAACATTCTAACCAAGTAAAGCGTAGAAACCTAATGACGCTTTGAGTGCATGTTGAACTTAAAATGAAAAGCCTATTACTTCAATAAACCCTTCCTGAGGTTAATGTAGTGATTTCTGCTTCTTCTACAGGTTTGCTGTAATCACCAGCATCCCGGCAGGTCAAACTGAGTTCAAGGTTCCCAACGGGATGGACGGCCGCTATGTTTACATAGGTATCACTGGAAGACATGAGTTCCTGACCCTCTGTGAGGTGGAGGTGTTTGGCTCTGCACTGGATTAGCATTCAATGTAATGGATTTGCAAAGATGCTGTAATGTGTACACAAAGCATCCAAAATAAAATGTGCACCTTAAATTGCATTGTTTGCATGACTTCAAGATTTACTGTTGGAGATTGCAACAAAAGTCTGCCTTGACTTTTGCTTTTACACGGGACTTGTACACCTTTTGGGAATGTGCTTGTCTTATGTCATAAGAAAATAACTGATATTTGTTTTTCTATCAATCATTTAAGAACAGTGAAAGCAATGGTTCTGAAGGCAGGTTTTTTATTTATTTAAATACAGACATAATAGACAAATATTATAAAAGACATCTGAAAGCTTTCTTACCCAAAGTTAGATCAGAAGATCGATCCCCATCATGTCTGTAAGAGTGGTATCTTGATAACTGAAGGGCCGCAGACAATATTAAAGTTCAAACAACTAATGTATGTCTGGAGGCCCAAACAAAGACCAGTTTCCTCTGTATGCCTGAGCCGTTTGTGTTTTTCTGTAGAAAGCATTAATAACAAGACTTCCTTTGGCAAAAAATACAATAAGAAAGAAAGATAACCTTTTAAAGGCCGTACAGTTGTATTTCACAAAAAATGTGGGTATTTACAAAAAAGTTCTGACAGGGCACAGTTGGAGGCAGTCTACATGTTTTGCCATAAAAACACAACTCTTTCTGTCATTTTATAACTGGATAAGGAATAAAGTTTGCCTGCTGAAAGCTGAATGATATGCAGTAAAAATTGTATTTAAAAGCTTCCAAACATGGGAACATCATTTTCCAAAGACTCTTTAAACACTGCTGGCCTCTAAAGAAACATTTCAACAACTTTTGCATAAAAATACTTACACACAAATAAAATATAAAAATAGCGTACTACAGAAAAATCTTTCCCCAGATCAGCACTGTGCAGAACAATAGAAGAAGTCAGATGTTGTCAAGTTTGCAAAGGGTATTGCTTCACAGTATGTGGACATCAATGATTGGGCCTGCCAGACAAAATGTACTTCTTAAGCCAAAGTCAAAGAAAATAAATTCCTAACATTAAGAAATAATACTGATGTATGAACAGCATGTCTTTGAAAACACTGTTTCCGAAAGTAAAGATTCTATATGACAGAACCAAGAGAACAATAAAAAGCTAGGAAACCTTTTGGTGTAATGGAAACATTGCTGTATGAAAACAATGCAGCAGTAAAGATGGTTGGCAACAGTCCACAGATACTGAGAAGTCAGGGCGAAATGTCCAACCGCTCAGTGAATCACAGCACCGCAAAGAGGGGGGACCGTTGGGCTTCGAGTAAAAAGCAGCAATGGCAGTGACTGATCAAAACCTAGTGAAAGATCAACAGGTGCTGAACTAGTCCATCTCACTGTGTTATCTGAGATCTTTGGAGACTTTTAGAACTTTGTAGATGTCGTTGGAGACGACTGTGGTGAAGTGGGGTCGTGAGCTTCTGGACATGTGGGTGCAAAGGGGAACTTTACCCACGTTTTGGGAATCCTCAATGTCCCAGATCTCAGGCATGCTGCACCCGGGCCTGAGCGAAGAGAAAGGAAGACATGGTTAATGAGAATGACACACTATTTGTCCTGCAATTCAAGTCAATTTAGATATTTTAAATTATTATATATAATATATTTACATAACCATGTCCTAAAATGCACACATGAGTGGTTACCATCAAATACAGAATACAGGGTGCCATGATTTAACCATACAGAAACACTCTTTTCGGCACCAGTTAAAGAGGCCCTATTATGCTTGTAGGGGTTTCCCCTCTTCTGTAGTGTGATATAAAGGTTTTTGTGCTACATTAGAGTCACAAAATACAAATATGAACCTGAAAATGTGCATAATATTTCCTCTTTGGTGCAAAAATAAAAGTTTAGAGTTTAACCCCAGATCAAATGCATACTAGAGAATGCAATTCCTGAAGAAATTGCTAGTGGGAATGCTTTATGCTGAAAAGCTGACGCTAAACTGCTATGCTGAAATGTAATGTGTAAGAAGAAAGTGAAGAATTTAGATTGAAATGATACATGAACACTGGGGGCTTGAATGTGTGATGAGAGAAGAAAAGAAAGTAAAAAGGCTTGGAAAAGCAGCAGAATATTTGAAATGCAAACTTTTGAACTAACTTGATGGCGAATGATCTGTCGCCATGCCAACGGCATTTGATGACATCCCATAATACGCTTAGATGCGTTGATGGCTGCATCATTACCAAACCTGTGAAGTTTTGGGCCATTTGGAGCATTTTCACTGAAGTTATGAGAAAACCGTGTTTCATGGCAGGCATTATGTTGCCATGGCAACGGCATGTCCCGTAGATGTCTTCACGGCTGGATTGTTAGCACACATGTGAATTTTGAGCACTTTTTGAACATTTTCATAGGAGTTAAAGGGACATCGTGTTTTATGGCGAGGGATGCGTTTCCATGGAAACGGCATATGGTGAGATTTCAGATTTGGCGTAGAGCTGTTGAGGCATGGACCGGTGTGGCAGAGAGAGAGAGAGAGAGAGAGAGAGAGAGAGAGAGAGAGAGAGAGAGAGAGAGAGAGAGAGAGAGAGAGAGAGAGAGAGATATTTTCCAGGTTGTTGTGTAGAGAATATTCAGGAGAATATTTGTCATTGTTCCAATGATAATAAACAAACATTTGCATAAAGCATATTTGTCCACTCATATGTTGATACGAGTATTAAAAAACTTGAAAAATATTCCTCTAAGGTACATTTAGAACAGATAAAAAAATGTGCGATTAATCACGATTAACTATGGACATCATGCGATTAATCGCGATTAAATATTTTAATCGACTGACAGCCCTAGTAAATATACAAAGAATAGACACTGAACATGTATTGCATGTGCCAGGTGTGATCCATGTGGGGGGATGGGCACATGAGAGCGGGAAATGTGTCAAATATTTCTGTGTGTTTGTGTCAGGTGTGATTCACATGGGGGGATGGGCACATAAGGGGGGGACACACATCTAGAGTATATGTGTGTGCGTGTGTGTGGGTGTTTATGTGTGTGTGTGTGTGTGTGTGTGTGTGTGCTTTATCTGATCGGGAACACCATGGGTGTTACAAAGTTGACTAAATCATCTAAAATACAATGAAAGTGGTGATCAGCAATTGTATATGTTCAAATGTCTACTGTGAAGGATATCATAAAGCCTTAATGCAATCGAATGTAAAACAAAAAAATTATGATTGATGAAAGTAGTAAATCGGTCAGATTTGACCCGAAGACAACAGGAGGGTTAAAGGAGGGTTTTTATTCACTATTATTATTTTTGCTATTTTTTAAATAAACAGATGATGACTTAATTTGATGCAAATTGATCTACTGACCATTCAGAAATTAATACAGTAATTGAATATATATATTATTCAGAAATGGGACATTACGCACCTCTGTACTGCTTTACTTTGCATTTAGTTGTTCTCCAACTTGTGCACCGTATCAATGCTTTATTGTGCTCCTCGCAGGGAGAGAACCAAGCTGGTGTACTCCATGTACAGCCGCATGTCTGCAGACACAGTGAAGGGGAACCTGATGACGCTGGGGGTGGACTTCTTCGTCCTGGAGGATTCCTGGTGCACCCGGAGAACCAGGTACCCTCCACATCACCAGAGCCCTCTCACAGGAGGGGGGACTTTTCAACCTGTTTTCTGTCATATTTTATTTTATAATATGATAACACTGTATTGCAAGATAAAGTCTGGAATCTTTCCTACAACATCAACGAATAAGATTTAAGGAAAGTGTTCAGACACTCAACAAACATTACAATCACAGAAGATAATATTTCAGAAACAGGTTTATTACCAGGTAGGTTACACCAGAGCCGTATAATAGAAGAGTTACGACATCTCCGTTCACTCCAATGGACCAGTTTTTTCACAGCAATGGCGGATCGTGGAGCCGTCAATAGTTCCCCGGAAGTTAGCTTGCCGCTGACTTCCGGGGAACTATTGTGGGCAGCAGCACAGTAGAGTTGCAGCATAATAGACCGTTCGTGATGGACTTTTAAAGGTAAGAAGACGTTTAAAGATTTATATTGCGGATATTATCAGCACATCTGAGTCAAATGAACATGTGTATTAAAGGATGTTAGTGGATTATCCCTAAATCAGTAGATTTAGGGAACGTTTACAGATAACAGATTAGGCTAGGATACCGGATAAAGTTAGCAACACACGTTAACCATGAACAGTTATTCATCCGTTCTCCTAATGTTATTTCATCCAACGTTGTGGAATTAGAGAAACAGGGCTTCTAAACGTGATTGTGAGTATGAAATGAACAGTTAGAACTGACTGCTGTCAGTTGGAGTGATGACATCATCGTTTTCCATTACACAGGTGTTTATAGTTGAGCTAACGAGCTATGAAGAGATCAAAGGTTTGCATTGTTCTGAATGAGAGATAAACCTCTTACATGTGAACGTTTTGTGGAAGAACGATAACAGATATCTGTGAAATTTCAAAACGTGAAGCATGTCAAGGAAGTTGAGTATCTGAAGTGTCATTTTTGTGTACTTTCGGGTTAATAATGTGGCCTTTTTGGCAGTTCAAAAAAATATGAAGGCACATTTCAAGATTTCTTACACTCTAGCTGTGACATCACGCACTCTAGTTAATGTTCAAATCTGAAGAAAACCTCTTTAACAAGGTCTGAACAATGTTTAATATCTCTAAAAGTAAGAATCAGATTTAAAAGTTGTGTTACACGAATAATGTCGGAAAGATGTGTAACATTTTAAAGTTGGAATGAGGTTTCTGAGTGAAAGTATGAATGAACAGTTAGCAGTTGAAGTCGCATGAAGATTTGTTGAAGTCTGAAGAATTTCTCCATTGACTTCAATGGTTAAAAATGTGATGAATTATGGGATGTATCTCTGGAATTATGAAAGTTATGAATGATAAAAGCAGTCGATTCCTGACCGAGCTGAACGTTTTGATGTTTGAAAGGAGTTTCTGCGATGTTGAATGTGGGAGGAGAAGACGGACAAAATAATTGGACGGAATAATAATAAACTTTTCGTCCGTAGCATAACATATAGTTGGAATGCTGTATCAGCATTCCCACTAAATTAAGTCAAGGTAACACCCTTTTCACCCCGGTTACACTTTTCATTTGTCCTGTACGATGGGCGCGGTAAGTGATGAAAGTGGGGGATGTTGACTTATCTGGCGCCCGCAGCTCACAGCCAAAGTGCGAGCAAGCCTCCAAGCGAGCAAGAGAGAGAGAGAGAGAGGGCGCGCATCGGTACCGCGGATTGTTGTTGGATTGAGGCTGATAACTACAGCTCAGTGAGGTAATGGACTCTGAGTGTTTAGATAGTTCACTTTAGTCTAAGTCAGGGTTTTTCAAAGTGTGGGAAGGTGAGCCTCCCCTCAGAGAACATAAGAACAGCCGCGCCCCCCCTCCCAATTATTATTGCTATTATTATTATTGTTGTTGTTGTTGCTATAATGCAGGGGTATTCAATTGCATTTCAAAGAGGTCCAGTAAGAGAACATGTCATTAAATGCTCTGTTTTCACTGTCTACCTTCCGCCATTTGAAATTAGTCCGACTGTTTCTCTCCTCTTGTCTCGTCTCTGTGTGTGTTTGAATCTATCGTGCTGACTCACTGACTGCACCGATTTGATTGGCTGAGTAGCGTCACCTCCTTAAAACATTAAACAATAATTTCTTTAACCTTTTTATCTTTTTTATATTGTATAAAACTCCCCCACTACTTGGACTATTCCTTGCACCCCTCTAGAATAAGCCTGAATGGTCTCAACCATATTGCATCGTGCACTTATTGTTATAACAAGATCGCAAGGACACTGGTAGCGATCGGACAATTGAGTGTTGTTCAGTTTGTGTGTTGAGGAACATGCGTGTGCGTGAATGAAAATATACCACACACCCAATTACAATTGCATGTTCAATTCACTACCCTGGAAGTTAATAAAGTTGTTAAAGTTGGAACAGCCTGTGGACAGCCGTTCTTCCTTGCATGTCAGTCGCCGACACCTTCTCACAGAGGACAGGCAAATCTAGCTATATTTTCGCACGCCGTGTTCTCAACACATATTTTTTTTAACATTTTCAACATCGTGGATACATCCTTATATGCTCCCGGCAACACACTGAACGTCAACTTTGCCTCCTTATTACACTCACCCCTACTTTAGTGGGAACAATGAGTCTGCGTCTTTGATGCACACAGGAATAAACGCAGATCATACTCTGGCTGCAGCCTTGACTGGCACTTGCTTTTGATCAAAGTCAATGCGGAAAACCTGCACTCACACAGGTAGGTGGAGGTGAAGGGAATGAGCACTTTTACAGCCTTTTTGGCGAGGTGGGGGAACTCGGTCTCCACAGACAGCCAAAAGTGGGCAAGTGTCACTTTACTCATCTTTTTCTCGTTATTTTTTATCTCACGCTGCGCCTCCCCTGAAGCTCTCTGGCTCCCCCAGGGGAGGCGCGCCTCACACTTTGAAAACCGCTGGTCTAAGTTATCTCAGTGGGTCTCAAACGGTTTGGTCACAATTTATGTAAACAAATATTTCCAAGGCACACCTTTATAATTATTGGGATAAACAGGTTTGAAATGACACTAAACCAAAAATTAAAATTAAAATTAAAACTGGATATTAAAAGAAATGCATGAATAAATAAATGTTAACTAGGTAAAATAAGATATAAATGAACAACAAAAATAAAATACGTTACATTTATTTGTTATTGGCTATGGTAGGTTATTGGTTATGTTCACATACTTATTTGATTATTAAAATGTAAACCGATCTTTTTCATATGGGTGTTTTAGAGTTGTACCCCCTAGATCAACACACTCTCACTCCATAAACGTCCAGGAGCGACGCTTGGTCAGGGTCCCGAGGCATGCAGTTGGGACGCTCCTAGGCTCCTTCAGCTTCATAAACAGACGCAAATAGCTTTCAACTGATTGCAATGTATTCCCATCTGCGGCGGCATTTGACGCTCATGGAAGCACAGCATTCGTTTGTGTCGGAGGCTGTTAAAGGCAATGTGAGCGTCCATTCCCATTGGATAACGGAGAATTGTACACCCGGAAGTAAGTATTCCCCTTACTGTCGATTGATTTGACAGTGATATCTCCACTACTCATCAACTCAAAAACACCAGATTATCCTTGTTAATTAAACGACATTGATAGGTTTTAGTGTACAATGCTTTTGTCACGTTTTCCCCTTCAATTCTGAGAAACAAGTCGTTTTCTATGAGTTTTGGATGGCCGAAGACATTATATTACCCACAATCCTCTGTAGCAACCATAGACTGTATATTGCAACAGGCAACAGCTTCGGTTCATGTTAATTTACAAACTCTTCAACTACAACCGTAGTTATATTTAAAAACATGTTAGAAGGCCTCACGAAATACTTTAATGTAAATTTAAATGTAAATGTGAAGGAATGTGTGTATATTAACTGTGGGTTTTTCTCTGGAAGTTTTTCCTTGTACGATGTGAGGGTCAAAGGACAGATGATGCCGTTTTTCTCATACTGATATTCCGCTATGCACGCTGGGATTTGGTGTTTATGCGATGTGAAATCCGAATTTTTTTAAAGAAAATGTAATAATACATTATTCCGAGTGTGCTTGCTTTTCTCTTTGAAAGTCATCACATAACGGCATTGTAATACACGTTTCGGCTGCATTAAATATTACATATCTGCCGTAGTTGTCTATTTATAGAGCCCTGATGAGAAGATTTCTAGACAAACAGGAACTGCCGCCAAAACTGAAAACTTGACGTGGATCTTAAATATATAAGCAATTAAACAACATCTTACATTTCTTTTCACACAATACGTCTCCTTGCAGTATCAACACTAATTCGGCTGACTTTTATATTTGATCCAATTGGTAGATAGGCTGTATTTACACCATAACGGTGCACAGCTGATAGAAAGGGACACCTACTGGTTAAAGCACGTTATTGCATTTTATAATTGTATTATTAGATATTAATAGGAGGATGTGCAAAACAGACAAACTAATAAGGCTTTATTTAAACATTAAAGAATACTTTAGGTTAAGGTATTCTTTTGAATAAGAAAAAAGCCTTGGGGGGTATAGAAGATGAATGGATGAAGGGATGAAACCCTCTTTGATGGTCACACATGCAGAGCACACAGCACACACAGTGAAATTTGTATCTACAGATAAATATTAAGCCTGACAAAGTACTTAACGTCTAATATATTGCTTTCCTGCAATGTTAACTATGTTTAAGCACTTATTTTAACTGATATTATACATATGTATTATACTCTTATAAGATGTATGTAGATAGTATAATAAATGTGCAGAATATGACAATGTAATGGTGGAGGTACACACATATTGATAGATGTCTTGTAATGCACTGTTGAGGAACCTGCGACCCAAGTTTTTCATTTATTGCATAACTACACCGTAGTTGTGTATAATATGATATGTCAATAAACCTTAGAAAATCTTGAAATCTTGAATGGGATGTGCAAAATAGTCATTATATACAGTCTTTAATTAACTATTAGTAGAGAATAACGACGAGTAAAGAATATACTTTATAGGGATCCTATTAATATCTAATAATACAATTATAAAATGCAATAACGTGCTTTAACCAGTAGGTGTCCCTTTCTATCAGCTGTGCACCGTTATGGCGTAAATACAGCCTATCTACCAATTGGATCAAATATAAAAGTCAGCCGAATTAGTGTTGATAGTGCAAGGAGACGTATTGTGTGAAAAGAAATGTAAAATGTTATTTAATTGCTTATATATTTAAGATCCACGTCAAGTTTTCAGTTTTGGCGGCAGTTCCTGTTTGTCTAGAAGTGTTCTCATCAGGGCTCTATACATAGAGTTAACTACGGCAGATATGTAATATTTAATGCAGCCGAAACGTGTATTACAATGCCGTTATGTGATGACTTTCAAAGAGAAAAGCAAGCACACTCGGAATAATGTATTATTCAATTTTTTTTAAATGTTTTCGGATTTCACATCGCATAAACACCAAATCCCAGCGTGCATAGCGGAATATCAGTATGAGAAAAACGGCATCATCTGTCCTTTGACCCTCACATCGTACAAGGAAAAACTTCCAGAGAAAAGCCCACAGTTAATATACACACATTCCTTCACATTTACATTTTAATTTACATTAAAGTATTTTGTGAGGCCTTCTAACATGTTTTTAAATATACCTACGGTTGTAGTTGAAGAGTTTGTAAATTAACATGAACCGAAGCTGTTGCCTGTTGCAATATACAGTCTATGGTTGCTACAGAGGATTGTGGGTAATGTAATGTCTTCGGCCATCCAAAACTCATAGAAAACTACTTGTTTCTCAGAATTGAAGGGGAAAACGTGACAAAAGCATTGTACACTAAAACCTATCAATGTCGTTTAATTAACAAGGATAATCTGGTGTTTTTGAGTTGATGAGTAGTGGAGATATCACTGTCAAATCAATCGACAGTAAGGGGAATACTTACTTCCAGGTGTACAATTCACCGTTATCCAATGGGAATGGACGGTCACATTGCCTTTAACAGCCTCCGACACAAACGAATGCCGTGCTTCCATGAGCGTCAAATGCCGCCGCAGATGGGAATACATTGCAATCAGTTGAAAGCTATTTGTGTCTGTTTATGAAGCTGAAGGAGCCTAGGAGCGTCCCAACTGCACGCCACGGGACCCTGACCAAGCGTCGCTCCTGGACGTTTATGGAGTGAGAGTGTGTTGCCTAGATCTAGTCTCTAGTAATTCTGCTCAAAGTGCACCAGATTGAAGCATTTTACTTTAAAATGTTAAAACAAATCTTTTCGGGGGGGCATACCCCCGGATCCCCCTAGAGGATGTAACGTCCACCCCCCAATTAAAACATGTTCATACAATACTGAATAGAATATAGCGTATATCCCTCAATTTATCGACAATAAGAATGACAATACATACTTCCGGGTGTAAAGTAATATATCTATCATACTGTAGATCCTACACATCCACTGGAGGTAGATTCTGAAAGTAAAATATACACTTCTCACTAGAAATGTAATCATAAAGCATTATTATGGCCAAACTATCCTACAATTTAGGATTTTCCACTGAAAAAAGTGTTGGATTCAAGATTCAAAGGTTTTATTCTCATATGCTCAGCAGCTACAGTGTAGAAATGTCAATGCAATTCTTCTGACCTGAGCTCCTCCAACAATGCAACATATATAATAAAATACAAAAATACAAAATAAAAAGTAGTGCAAAAAGTGTATATACATGTAATATAATAGAATATGATATTTACAAGAACAGAATATTAAATGAAATAATGTAAATTAAGAAAAAAATTAAATACGGTGTATTGTGTGGATAATAGACCCAATCACAGTGAATGTTCAAAACTACATTTGATACTTTTTCTTTTTCATCTCACAGTGCACATATTTAACTAATCATAACATAAAGCTAAAAGTTAATATGAAGCTCAGCGCAAGTTCTTTCAGGAAGACTGGTTCCCACGCTCTCATTCACAATTCTCCCTCACTCACTCGCCCCCTTTCTCAATTAAGCAAAGGCGCAACTTACCCCAAACCAATCGACTGCGTCTTATTCCCCACAGCCAATCACAGCACACCCGGCAAAACGTTTAAATCTGCTCTACTCTCCCCTGACAGCATCGTTCAGGAGAATTGATGCAACCCTCCTCCACCTCCTTCACCTCCAGTTTTTTCAGATCCAAGGCAGGATAGCCCAGAAGAACCCTCATCACTCCAGATTTTTATTTTTCCTTAGTAATCACCTCCACCAGTGTCTAGACCCCGGAGGGGTTTCTCTTTCTTGTCGGCTTCTCCTCCCCCTTAATTCATCACAGTATGATGGGGTCTAATCTCCAAAAACACTATTGTGCATACGGCAATAAAATATGTTATCAACTTCAACTAAGTCTCTCCTGATTGAACTGTTTTTCCTTTCTCTTTTCAAGAGTGCTTCAGAGGATGGCTGAATTCACAAAACGTGGAGAAGACCGAGAGGGAGAAGTTGGCCGGTTACTACATTTCACAAAAAATACAGGACCTTGTGAAAAGCGGAAAGAACCAGTTGAAGGAAACTGTTTAAAAATATGAAGTAATGGGTGTTTTGAAAATGTTTTCAAATTTGTGTTAATGTTCATTGTGTGTTATAAATTATTTTCCTGCTTCTAATCATTTGATGTATGAGTATTTATTTACAGACAATACATTCTATACATTCTGGTACCTTTCTGGTAAGGTAGGTGCTCTGATCTGAAATGATAGATGTTCATTGAGCGACTGCAATTGGGTGAGAGTGTTTCTTCATCATATATGACCAGCTTAACCATCAAGTAATCCCAGCTAAAGTTCTACTCAAGATCATACCAGTCTGACCAGCTAATGGTGACCAGCTAGAACACTGTGACCACCAGCTTTTACCAGCTATCCTGACCAGCTAATGGTGACCAGCTAGAACACTGTGACCACCAGCTTTTACCAGCTAAACCAGCTATCCCGACCAGCTAATGGTGACCAGCTAGACCACTGTGACCAAACCAGCTATCCTGACCAGCTAAAGTGTCCAAAACCCCTCTAAACCAGCAAACTAATCCAGCCTAATATTGACTGGCTGGTCAGGCTGGTTAGACCAGCCTTGTTGGTCTAAGCTGTTTTTTTTCAGCAGAGACAGCACAGAATAATTACCGAAACTAAGCAAAGTGTTTTTATTTATTTATTAAAATTATAACTACAATCCGAAAAAACAGGGGAAGCCTGGCTTCCCTTGGCCTCCAGGAGAAAACGCCACTGGTTCAAGGGATAATTCTCACCCACCTCTTGCTCTTGCCCTGCACTTGTATGTGCCAGTTGAGCTGGTTCTTCCACCAGCTCAACTCTGTCCCTCATCATGAACGCAGGAGGCTGGCTGTATATCTGAACTCGCGCCCTCATCATTCTCTTCATCATCTTGCAATTGTTCTAAGCTGCTGCTGATAGTGCTTGTAGCAGTGCTGCTGCCAAAAAGGTCTGTCAATTTGCGACATTTATATGCTTCACCTGCGAGTGACTTCACCTTTTTTTCTCTTGCCTTCTTGGCCTCACCTTTTTCTTTTCGTTTTCTTTGATTTGTATCCATGTTTTTTCATTCTCCCTGTCTGCCGCGGCGTCTAATCCCTTCTCTTCGTGTGGCCGGTCTTTTTCTTCTTCGTGTGTGATTATTTGACAGATAAGAACCACACAACTGCATTAGCGGCCGCTGTCGCCCTCTGTCGCCCGTCAGCGCAACTTAAATGATGACGTTAAACCATTTTTTTTAAAGGCCGTCAACGGCCCTTGACGACCGGCCGTTCTGTGGTTCTCCAGATTCTACAGATGGCCAGTCCGCCCCTGCCCACTCCTGATCTAGACACTGCACTAATTCAGCATATGCTTCTGCATTCTTTGTTGCGTCTTCTTCAAGTGCTTCTTCATCGTTGTAGTCTATCGCTGGCACTTCCAGGATAACTTCACTGAGTCCGCGCACTTCCATGTGCGCCAAAAAACTCGTCTCCCATAACTCAAAGTTGTTCTCGTCATCGTCGAATAACAACTTAAACCACCTTTGGCCTCCTTGACTGGGCCCATAACCTGTTGCGTGAGACACTATATTCAGCAGAAGTCTCCACGTTTGCAGTCAACCAAAGTAGTTTGTAAGCATCATCTTAACTAGTTGTAACGGACAGAAAAAACACACGACCACATCGCACTGAGTTTGGCCTGGAGAACTGACCGTTTATTGCATCTGCGCATGGTCATTAGCATCACCACGTTTCTTTCACACTCAGGCACATTCTGACGATGTCATATACACATGAACTGAAACATGACTTTGTTCTTATACAAATATGCTTAACAGTTACAAAGCACTTCACAACTTATTAATCGGCCTAGTTTTACCTTACCAGTGCAGTGGTAAAGTAATCTGTAGAAAAGCACCGTATTTAGGTTAGCCTTCATAGTAAGGCTACATTAAATGTTATAATATTCATCGTGTCCTTTCTACTGCATATGCATATATTCCTGTCTATTGCTGTCACATTTCACAATTTGGGATGAATGAAGATAGATAGATAGATAGATAGATAGATATATAGATAGATAGATAGATAGATAGATAGATAGATAGATAGATAGATAGATAGATAGATAGATAGATAGATAGATAGATAGAGAGATAGATAGATAGATAGATAGATAGATAGACAGACAGACAGACAGACAGACAGACAGACAGACAGACAGACAGACAGACAGACAGACAGAGAGACAGACAGACAGACAGACAGACAGACAGACAGATAGATAGATAGATAGACACTTCATTCATCCCAAATTGTGAAATGTGTGGAAACAAGTATAAACATAATAACATGAAATACAAATAAAAGCAATAGACAGGAATATATGCATATACAGTAGAAAGGACACGATGAATATTATAACATTTAATGTAGCCTTACTGTGAAGGCTAACCTAAATACGGTGCTTTTCTACAGATTACTTTACCACTGCACTGGTAAGGTAAAACTAGGCCGATTAATAAGATGTGAAGTGCTTTGTAACTTTGACCCGCTTGACTGAATACACAAAAAACAATGAAGAAAGAGTTATCTCTGGGCTGCTTCGCTGCCAGCTGTAGTTCCCCGGGACCCGAAAGTCGCGTAGCCTGTAGCCTACTTCAACATCAATGCATACGAAAGTGCTCGATATATGCTGTATTGAACAAATAAACTAACACAAACTAACTGTATCACTATAACATGATGATGATGGTGATAAAGAATGCATCTAACGTTCCGCTGTTCATTATAATACAAAAACAGTGCATTAAACAAACCATCATGCTCTTACTTTGAAATCATGCGGAAATGTCGTCATCAGCAGGCCATCACGTGGTTTCCGAAAATAACCGAGTGACACGAGTAGATTTTAGCCGAGACCGGCGGAAAGTTTGTCTCAAAACTCCGTGTGTGTAAAAAAACGATCCACAAGCAGAGATTTGAGATCCACAGGCAGAGATTTGAGATCCATGAGCGCATTTTTGGTCGACAAATACAAAATGGATTCACAAATGCCTGATCGAAAGTTGTCAATGTTAAAGAGATATTCACAGATCTTTTTTTTATTTGTAAAAATATTTAGCGCATTTGCAGATCCGTTTTACATTTGCAAATTTATTTGTGAGTTTGCAAATCTTTTAAATGCATTTGTGGATGGTGTTTTACATTTACAAATCACATATTTACACACATTATTTTTATGTTCACACAAATTATTTTGAGAGAAATCTATGCCCATACACGGAGCCCGTTTCCTAAACCATGCTAAATGTATGTGTGTGTGCATAAAGCTGAGTTATGATCGGTCATAATAACACCCAATTTGGTGATGATTCAATCGTTTACAGTGAAATGTACAGCATACTTTTGGCCATAATCTCGCCGCCCTACAAATGAACTGAGATTTCCACACAAATGTTCTTTAGCAAGTGTGCAGAGCAATTTTGATTTAAAATAGCAATTTGAAGGTTGGATATTTGTAAACATTTTTGTGTGTATATTAATAATTTAAGATGTAGGCCTAAATTAATTCCAATTTATTTGTAGTACTTTCTATTTTTATTGTGTCATTTGGTGGAATCAATGTGTGCATTTGATACAGATAATGGAGCAGTTGCTTTAGGGCCTTATATACAGTAGCCTTTAAGGTCAAATCATGAGATCTTCGACCCCCCCCCCCCTCCACACAGAGCCCCCCCCTACATATCAAATCCCAATTCAACCCCTGCTTACATTTAAATGTGTACTGCCTGGATTCAGCCATTTTCCGCCAAAGATTTTGGAAGTTGGTCCTTGCGCAAAGAATTGTGGGTCATTTAAGACCTCCGAGGATACACATCATGGATGTATAATAAGAACTGGATACAGCGTGGGAGGCGGGGCCTCGTTCATTCCTATGAGAGTTGCTCATTGGCGCATGAAGACAAAATGGCCCAACTTTTGAGAGAGCGAAACGTCACGAAAGTATTCATATAATCATATAATCCGTTCTTATTGTGCATCCATGGGTAAAGGTAAAACTCATGTAGTACTGAACACGTCACATGAACGTGCCGGGCGGCGCGGTCCCGTGGATTAGATGCACGTTCATAATGCCGAGGAAAATAACTCTCAGAATAACGTTATTAGCACATTTTACAACTTGAGGACCGAATGTTTTTAATAAGGGCTATACAAACGTTCATACTGGGTTGTTTATTTAGTTTAAAAAAAATTATCCAACGATTTACAGACGTCTCTTTCCCAATGTTAGTCAATGGGCAAAAGTATTTTCGGGCCCAACGACTGATACGGAAGTGTAGTACCGCCATTTGGCCACAACTAATATTTTCCTCGAGTGTCGAGTAAACCTGCTCCAGAGCCACCATTTCAAGCATACTACGTCATCGAGTGGTGCCGAAGGACTGTTTAAATGCCCAGCATACATGTGCTACCAAGCAAGCCTCCTCGACATTGAGAAACGGGGTGTTTCTCAATGTCGAGGAAGGCTGCTCCAGAGCCACTATTTCAAGCATACTACTTCATCGAGTGCCGCCGAAGGACTGTTCCAATGTCCAGCATACTTGGAATTCTACCGAAGCCGTCGTACTTCCTATTGAGAAATTTCGAGGCTGCACATGTGTAGACTCCGCAGTCTTAAAATCCCCACAATGCTTTGCGCACGGACCAATTTCCAAATCTTTGGCGAAAATCGCGCTCCATTTAAGGCGGGGCCTCGCATATGACGCACATCTGCACACCTGTTAGCCTGTTCCACAATTCTTAATATTCCGAGGCTAGGAAGGATTCTGAAACAAAAATATATTGTAATATATTGGTAAATATAATACAATATATTGGATCATACATTTCCATATATGGGAAAGTAGTCCTTATATTTTTTAAATATATTGCAATATATGCATGGACCATGTATGGCTATATATTGATACATATAAAAAAAATATATTGCAATGAAAACAAAAACTGCACTATACATTTATATGTAATAGTTTTATTGAAACACTCATTTATCTTTCATGAGTTTACATAAAATTGAACAGATATTCATAAACAGTTATCTCACTTCGTTTTGTATAGTTACCCACTTTATATATG